CACATGCAGTGGTTTAGCAATTCGATTCAAAATGGCCGACTTGCAGCCATCTTGTTTTTTGAAAATGTTGTATTTTGGACATGCTTTGTCAGTTGTCATTCAAACTTGGTACATAGATTACACATGTTAGGATACATGTCCATGACGTTTTATTTCGCAATTGGATCAAAGATGGTCGACTGGCAGGCATCTGACTTTTTGGCCTTACTACTATATTTCCACAATTTATGTACCTTTTTCATTTGTATTTGGCACATACATCATATATATCAGTGTGTTTCATAAACAGATCAAAGATGGCCGAATAACGGCTGTTTTTATTTTTGGCCATATTACTACTACACGGAACACGTGTTTTGATGTAAATAAACAATCTGTTGTATACGCCACTTGGAACTTGTGTTTCAAGAACACGCTCACGACAACCCATCCACTTTAATATGACGAGCACAAAGAGAACTTAATTTAACGGGGACTGTGTCATTTTCAATGACTTGTTATTTTTAGAGGACGCTTACGCGCGTAATCATTCTATATTTTGAATTCGCATTTCCTAATATGGTAGGATGAAAACACTGCAAAATTACGGCACGCTGTAATGTATGGTGTTGCGGTGACAGATGTATAATAATAAGTATTACTATTACAGAATCTTCTCACATAAGTAACGTATGGTGTTACGGTGACAGTTGTATAATAATAAGTATTACTATTACAGAATTTTCTCACATAAGTTCATTTTAATTTACAGACCATATGTCGGCGTGGTGGAGATTGGTTTGCTTCATTTGGGCGTCCAAGAAACACCGGAACTAAATTATTTAATATATCTGGTCATGTGAAAAATCCCTGCACAGTTGAAGAAGAGATGTCAATACCACTTAAAGATTTAATAGAACGTCATGCTGGTGGTGTTACTGGCGGATGGGACAACTTATTAGCTATTATACCAGGTGGATCCTCTGTACCGCTTATCCCAAAAAGGTATCAATCCATTTATCTGTGTCAACCAAGTTTGGTCAGCTTTTCTGATTCACTTTGATTGGATTTGTAAACAAAACATCAGTGAAAAAACAAAATTTGTCTTACTTTGACAGTATTGTACTTAAATAGGGAAGGAGGAGAATTAACCTCTTCTTACCAGTGTTTTTCCCATCTACTTTTCCACATCTACTTTTCCGCAGCCAGTGTATCAAATGCTACAAAAACCATCTCTCTGTCAAATGGAAATTTTAATGCGCTATCCTGGCAGCAACCAGGCTCTGTCAAACACAAGCACCTGCGGACCTTAACCAAGGTTCCCCCAAAGTCTCATTCGTTAGTGAATGAATCTCGGCCAGTGGAAAGGCCTTCCCATTGAGTCTGTGGCACACTTACCCAGGGTAGGGGTCGACCCTTTGATGTTCAGCCTAAGAGAGGATTTGAACTTGGGTCTACCGATCATGAGTCTGAAACGACAA